GGACCATCTGACCTTAAATTTACACATCACAAGGTTTCCATTTACAAACTACAAAATTCAAAAGTTTTTTACTGCTGTCTCTCTGTCTATTTCCTCCAAGTCCAACATGCTGCAAATAAGACTTATAAATTTACTTTACTTCTACCTTTTTCCATGTGCTGTGCTCTAATGTTTTAAGAACTACCAGCTGTCTTTGGGGTACAGTCCAATTTACCTAGTACAATTTTCTGCCCTAAGACAATGTCAATTATTTTTGTCAAGGAAGTATCCTCAGTAACAGAGATACAACCTCTCCCTCTACAATCACTTTCTGCATTCAAGCATCATTAGAACAGCTTTCCCACTGCTAATCCAAACTTCTCCTGCACTTCAGTTTAACCTCATTATTTTTTATCCACTGGTTAAAAGAGGCCACTTTTTCCCATTTTCCAACATTATGTACTTACTAGGAAAGTGTTCCCAGTCTTTTTTTCACCTCATTAGCCTTTACACCTCCTCCCTCACATCTGTTTGCTAAATACTCAATGATACAGACTCCCAGTAGTCAGAAACTTGCTTAAAGTCAGTTGTATAGAAGGGAATATATCCCAGCTGAGTGGATGAGCAAGGAGAAGAAGGATACAACAGCATCTCTTGTTGCATATACTTGTAAACTGTTCACGTCACAGTTTACAGGAACACTACAATGCTGGACTATCCAAAATTTAACATTCACCCTAAACCACAAAAAGTACCAGCGCCTCATAATTTTCCTCAAACAATATCCTTTTTTTTAAGTCTCCTTTGCACTCAGTAAAGATCCTTTTGATGTACCCTCTACTGGACCATAGAATAATAACTTTGAAAACCCCTGATTTACTGAGTGATATTTTATTCCCTATAAATACCACTACATCAGCCGCCCAATTGCAAGCCAACTAAATCAATTGGTGTTACACAGAAGAAGAGTTCATTTATACCACACTGTAGCATGAATGAAATTAGAGTCAGGAAGAAATAGAGTAAATAATCTATGTATCTGATTTTTCAAACATGTAATTGTTAACGTGGTTTAGAAAAGATTTAAAAACGTCTCTCTTATAACCACTGCTACCTTGCTATTCACAAGCAAGCTTCAAAAGTGCACCACAGAAGAAAAAGCAGTATACCCATATTTCCCAAAGAGTGAGACTGTTGTTCCTCCCACAGGAACTGCTTTACCAGGTCCATACACATCCCAGATGGTCAGAGCCACCTGTGCATTGCGAGGCAAGTCTGGATACTTCACAGGCAGCTTCAGCCACTCATTCCAGCTGCAGAGAAACACTTTTTATTAGTCATAAAGCTTTAGAATTCAAGTTACTCTGTATTAGTTTATGCAACCCAAATTCTCCTCAGAATATGAATTTCCAAGGGCATAAGGACTATTTTCCTGCAGGCTTTAAGCATTCAAATACTTGTCTTCAGCATGACTAAAAGGTAAGAGACCAAAAGAAAAATAGTCTGGCTTGATGACTAAGTGACAAGGCTGTCAGCAAACAGCATGAAAATGTGCTAGTCCGGGCCTCAGTAGTCACTTAGATAGTAAAACATGCCCAGGTAACAATTTTAAAAACAACAAAGTAACAACAAAAGTAACAATTTTATCACTTACCTATTACATCAAAATATTCATACTGTGCTGTCAGGGTAACACTAACCAATACAGACACTTGAAAAAACATAACTCATTTGAAGAAGACAACAGAAAACAAATCTTTCTGACAGAAATAAAAATCATATATATATATCTACCCATAAAACTTGATGCCCCAGCAACTAAGAGGAAATAAAAGGTAAGTCACTTACTTCCATCTAGTGCTGAAAGCCTTGTAGGAAGTTCTAACTGGAAGAGCAAGAGGCTTCCCCTCTGCAAACACCTGACAAGTTACATACAAGTCAGAGCAGGTATCTTGATACAGTCCTGAGAACTTCAGCATGGGATCTTCTAAGAGAGCTTTGTAACTCTTCTGTTCTCTTTTCCCTTCCAGACTTCCTCTACGGGAGGGACAGAGGAGAAAAAAGAGAAAGAGAAAACATAGATAAACCAGAATTTGTTTTATCCACAGTAGAAATGCTATTGTAGTTCCACATCTCATATTTAGATTACCCAGTACTAAGGCTATTTTCACTTTGCATTACTTGCTGGTAGTGAAATACAGATACCAGAGAGGAACACAACGCATTGTTATCCTGATTTAGAGGTGGGAAGGAAAAGCAGTGCAAGAATTACTTGTTTGCCTTTTCAATTGAGATAACTTCCTCTAGTACAGCCTGCAGATTCTCAAATTAGGAACCTTAAATAGGGCAACAACGAGATGCCATATGCTGCTATTATCAACAAACCAAACTAAACATCAGATTACATGCACTCCAAAATACTGTTTGGAAAAAATTAACCTCCAAACCAGCAGTGGTAAGTAAATCTTAATTTTTAAGATTTTTGAAATGTATGATTGGCTTTGTAAGTCAGTCATCCCTCAAATAAACAACAAAACAAAGTTCAATTAAGAAGACTTCAAAAAAAACTTGGTTAAAGTCTTGCAACATTTTCCACAATGCTACTGCTAAGACAGAATTTCTTAGGCTTCAGCTAGATCATGATGAAAACAATCAAACACATTAAACATCTGACAATGGATGCACATGTTAAAACAAAAAAGGAATTGTTGTGGTGGTGACAGAAAAACACGTAAGATCAACCTTCCAGCAAACAGAAATCTATCTGTGCCATAAAAACACTTCAGAGCAGATGAACAAGTTACTTGCAAGAAACTAGCACTGCACATTCCAGGATGACATACATTCCAATGCAAAAAAAAAAATAAAAAATGCTAATTTAATTTTGTTTGGTGGAATGAAACAGCAAAGAGGACACATGAATCTGACTCGGGTATCACAGTTAGGCTGGGTTGGAAAGGAAATTAAAGATCATCTTGTTCCAAACTCCTGCCATGAGCAGGGACATCTTCCACTACTATCACCTGTTCAGAAGTTAAATAACCCAGAATAACCTTCTCAAAGTTAGTTTGACAGAAAAGTGTAATCTACTTTAATTTATCACCATCAGGTACACTACATTTTAGAGCCAGCTACATCCCTCCTGCACAACTGTAAACATCCCATTGCTGTGATGCAGAAAAGTGACTTAAAAAATGGTAAATACACCAGTGAATGATAATTCCAGCTTCAAAGGAAGTGCTTCCATATGTGCAGCTGGGAACATACTTAGATGCTGCAGCACTTGGACCTTTCACCAAAAAACCTGGCTAAGAGCATCTTGCTTTCACGGGAGAATGGGAAGAAACGGGAAGGGTGTCACCAGTTTGTCTCCTTCCCCTATCACCGAGGATCAAGCTGTGGCACTGCGGTGGCCTTACAGCAGGTGAGAGGAACTTACACCAGAGACAGGGCAAGGCTGTGCACAAAGGCCTGGAGTGACAGGACAAGGGGAAATGGCTTCAAACTGAGAGAGAGAGTAGGTTTAGATGAGATCTTAGGAAAAAATTCTTCCCTGTGAGGGTGGTGAGGCCCTGGCACAGGTTGCCCAGAGAAGCTGTGGCTGCCCCATCCCTGGAAGTGTACAAGGCCAGGTTGGATGGGATCTGGAGCAGCCTGAGATAGTGGAAGGTGTCCCTGCCCATAGCAGCGGGGGGGGAGTGGGACTGGATGAGCTTTGAGGTGCCTTCCAACACAAACCTGCGACTCTATGACACCGGCAGGTGAGAAGTTACCAGACTGCACTGACAACCAATCTTTACCTCAGAGAACCTAAGCACACAGATATCTGAGTTCGCAGCCCTGCTCCAGTCCGGCCCCTCTCCCGCCCCGTCCCGTCTCCTCCCCGGAGAGCGGCATCTGCAGCCCGGGGTGTTGTGAGGGACACGGGGCCGGGCCAGCACCGCCCGTAGCCGGGCACCGCCGGGCTCCGGGGTCAGCGCACCCGTCCAGGGGCGGGCGGCCCAGCCTCCCCCCACGGCGGCAGCGGCCGCTCCCCCGCAGAGCCGCGGCGGCGCTCACTCACATCTTGAGCTGCACGTTGATGTCCAGGTCGCAGCTGTACACATAATAAAGCCTCTCGGTCTCGCCCATGGCCGCCGCTCCCCCTCAGCACCCGCGGGCAGCGCCGCTCCCCGCTCCGAGCATGCGCCGCCTCCGCCATCTTGAGTAAGGGAGGAAGGAGCGGCACCGGCCCTTTACCAAAATGGCCGCCGGGCCGTGGCGCCCCCCCCCCCCCCCGCGCTCCCCCGCGCAACAAGGGGGGGCAGCGCCCAGAGGGGCGGTGAGGTGAGAGCGGGCACGGGGGGTGCGGGAGGGCTCCTGTGCAGCCTGCGGGCGGGGAGGGTTGGAGCGTTTTAGCAGCCTCACAGAATCATAGAATATGCCGGGTTGGACGGGACCCACAAGGATCATGCAGTTTTACTCCTTCCCCTGCACAGGCCACCCCAAGAATCACACCACGTGCCTGATAGCGTTGTCCAAATGCTTCTTGAACTCTGGCAGGCTTGGTGCCATGACCTCTGCACTGGGAGCCTGTTCCTGCACGCACCCACCCTCTCAGTGAAAAACCTTTTCCTGATTCTGAACATGAACCTCTCCCGACTCAGCTTCATGCCGTCCCCTTGAGTCCTGCCTCTGGTGATAAAAGTGAAGGGATCAGTACCTGCCCCTCTGCTTCCCCTCGTGAGGATGTTGAAGATCACAATCAGGTTTCCCCTCAGTCTTCTCCAGGCTGAACAGACCAAATTCCCTCAGCCACTCCTCGCACGGCTTCCCCTCAAGGCTCTTCTCACCGTCCTCGTGGCCTCCTTCAGACAGTCATAGAATGGTTTGGGTTGGAAGGACCTTAAAGCTCATCTCATTCCACCCTCCTGCCACTGGCAGGACACCTTCCACTATCCCAGGTTGCTCCAAGCCCCATCCAACCTGGCCTTAAACACTTTCAGGGATGGGGCAGCCACAGCTTCTCTGAGCAACCTGTGCCAGGGCTTCACCCCCCTCACAGGGAAGATTTTTTCTTTTTCTCCTTCTCTCTAAAAGACACCAAGCAGAAATGACTGTGCCCTTCTGCCACCAGAGGACAGGTTGATCGCTGAATTCATCGTGGTTATTTTGTTATCACCACACCGACTTTGGGACGATTTTTTTCTCATTTTTTAATGTTTTTTTTTTCCTGAAATCTCGTCTGTCAGCAGTAGTAGGTGATCAGCAATCACCACCTAACAGAAAACAACATAGTAAAATGTAAGTACAGAGTGCATCTGCATCTGACACAGGCAACCAGAAACTACCAACTTACATACTGTACTCATATGATTTTAAAAAATCTTTAGTGTTTTGAGTATTAATACAGGTTGTGGGCATCTTTAAGTGACAAAAACATCAATGTTATATACATGTAGTTATTGCTATGCTACACTTATTCTGTCAACATAGGCAAAGCAGCCCACACTGACAAAGAGGAGTTTTCTGGTTTATGTTCCACCACAGCTGCTGAAATTCTCAACACTGATAAACAAAAGTATAGAAAATGCTGTTTTGCTGTAGCTCATTGTACTTAAAGCAGGATTGGTCCTGAGGAAGCATCCAGACGGAGGTGCTCTCTCCCAGCATAGCTCTTACTAAAAACAAAGATAGTTGTCACTTGGGACCACCATGTTCTCTTCCATTTTCACAGCAAGAATGAGTCAATGGGTGGATGTGGAAGGACATGTCAGCTAATCCTCTTCTCTTGCAAACCAGTAGCTCTGAGGGAAGAGGCCAAGGCAGGGGAGGAACGCTTCTTTTCAGGAAAGAAGGACTTTTTCACCTCAAAACTATTTTTTCCCATCAGGTTCTATGACCAGGTGGTCTTTTCTTCCTTTTTTTCTCCAAAACAATTAGGAAACTAGAGAAGACCACAACCCAGAACCATATATCACTAAAATGAAGTCTTTGCTTTCTAGCACTGCCTCACTGGTATGTGTCATGAGACCAAAACGTAACTGAAACATAATTAAATTAACAAATTCCTTTACACATGAAAAGTGACTTTCTATCCAGCTTTTTCTTTCTTAATTTGTCACTTTTTGATCACATTTACAGTTTCAACAGCGCTGGCAGCTGCCATTCATTTATTGCATGCCTCATAATTTTTGTTGATTTCTGTTTGTTTGTTAGTTTCGTTTCTGCCCATTTTTTTACGTAAAATCTCTGCCTTCCATAACAAAAATACATAAGCATATTGTTCTTCCTGGATGTGGAGAAAAAGAAAAACATAAAACTGTAAAAATTTAAAAGACAAGTCAATCTCAATAGTTTTAAAGCTATCTCTGTGTGTACACAAACAGTCGAGTACCATAATATGCGTGTTCCTATTTTGACATTATTTTTTCTCAGGAAAAAATAGATTCTTTTTCAAATAATCGAATTAGTAGTATCAGTTAAACAGTCTTGCAGTCTGTCTCTCCATTACAGACATTTTTAGTTCATTATTGGACTTTTGTTTATTTATCAGAGGAAAAAAAAACTAAAGGAAAAAATTACAGAAGTCATCGTTAAAAAAAGTTTTTGAAATGGTTTATTTCCCAACTTTTTCAGATTCCAGTGTGCCTAACTAGATAGGTAAATTAGGTGAAGCAAAAGAAGGGAAAAATGTTTAGGAAGACATGTTTGACAATAAAATTGAGGAAAGATGCTATTTCAATCAGAAATATCACTTTATACGGCTATATCATATAAATAACCTTACAGTTATAGGTTCTCAGATACTGCCATAGATGCAGATAGAAAGAGTATTTTTCACCTGAAGGATACTGAGGCACTTGGAAAAGGCAGTGATGAACATACTGTACGTGTCTGGGAGTCGTTGCCTACGCTGCTGACACAGATCCTGCCGGAGGTGACGGGTGTCTGAGCAGGAGCAGTGTCTGTAAGTGCCACACTCCTACAGCACAGGGAAGCTGAATGGGGCCCTTTGGTACAGAGCTACTGCCACTTCTGTCTATCCTTCAGGGCACTCAGCATTTATGGCATCGTCTGTACTGATGAAAACAGCCACTGTGGGCTGTTGCCCCTGAGTCAAATAGTTTGTGTGAGTCACACCTGCCCTTTCTTGACTTGGCCCCTGCAGACTGGTCCATCTACATCCCAACTGCAATAATATTTGGTCTGTCTCTTCTCTAAGCTTCAGTGACCACTCCTGTGCCCAAAAGACATGATTGCTTATATGTGTGTTTTCCAGCTTAAAGTGGTTGATGTAGTATCAGACATTGTGTGAGGGCCTAGCACAGGTTGCCCAGAGAAGTTGTGGATGCCCCATCCTTGAAAGTATTCAAGGCCAGTCTGGATGTGGTTTGGAGCAACCTGTTTTAGTGGAAGGTCCTGTCCATGGCAGGGTGTTAGAACAAGGTGACCTTTAACATCCCTACCAACCCAAACCATTCTGTGATTCTATGATTTTATGATACAAGGGTTGTTTGGCTGCCTGCAGAAAGTTCTTTATAGCATCGTATCTAGGGCTTGGCATGAGGGCACTTTGTGGTGTTTGAGTGTTTCTGTTTCTGGCCCACTGAAGTAGGGGAGAATTATTCCGACTGTTGGGTGTCAAACAAGGCGCATCAGTTCTCCTGTTGCTGATCTGTAGCACTTCCATAAGCAAACTCTCCTGGAAACTCTACTTGGGTTTCTTCTATAAGGAGATTAATTGTTATATTCCAGAAGGAAGTCGGGGAGTGAACTACCACGAACGCTGTAGAGGCAACTGCATACATGTGATAGCAAGAACAAGTTCTGGAAGTGAACCAGAGTGTCAAGAGTGCTGATGCTCCAAGTGCATTTTGAAGCAAATTCTGACCTTTGTCATGCGAACAGAAGAAGGGGCATCTGTCCCTTCTGTACTTTGGGTGAAATTGAAAGCAATGTGAGAGACTAATAGACCTTGGTCACCTGCTTATGGTCCAGGACCCCATTTCAAAGAGTTCTGTGTCCCAGCAGGGCCATAGAAATCAGTCTCATGCTCCGCCCCAGCCCTAGCTGGTTCAGTATGGACTCCACTGAGCCAATTCCCACTCCTGGAATAATGACCCATCCCCATGGAGATCCCTGATGCCCAGGTCTGTACCTGACCTGGCTGCCCCACAAGTCTTCCCTGCTTTCTGGCAGTGGGACAGGCTCTGGCTTTCTGCCACAGCACAGCCCAGCCACATGTTCCTGTAGTGACCTAACATTTACCTGATCTTGAAACACCAATTTAACTCAACACATGTGAGCGTTTACATTGTCTTTAAGAGCAAAGTATACAAAGAGGAATCTATTTTTTTCTTATGAAGACTATCAGTAACTGCTTAGCTACACCTAGATTTAGTTATTTGCTAATATCGTGCCGTTCTTGTCATTGGAAAACATATGACAAGCAGGAGATTGACATTTTTCATTCCTTTGCTCATGCGTTAAAATCTCCCCCATCCCTTTCTGGTTTTCAGTCTGATAGTTTGTCAGGTCCCAGAAGTCTGGTGAGGTGAAGCATCGAGAAAACAGTGGGAGCAATAGAGAGGTCTGCTACTGACACGATTCTCTTTGGAGGGAATGGAGCTATTTTTCTTGTTTTGAAGCAAAACTATCAGTTGCAGTTCATATTCGATTGATAGCCACAGAGAAATATGTAACCTCTCAATCCTACCAAGAACTATATACCATTTTCCAGAGGACAACATTGATTCCTCGTACACCATCTATTTTCTGCCAGTGGGACTACCACGATACTGAAGAGGACTGATCAGTTCAGATGTTCAGCCAGGGCCCACATTCTTGGTAAAGATTTTCAGCCAAGTTGCTCTGTTGTCAGACTTGTTTTGTCTTTTCTGAGTGTGGACATCTGTCCACTAAAAACTGGACTGAGACAACTAGGAACTATACATAACCCTTAGTACATCTGTCAGATGATAATGACTTTCGGTCACTAATGAACTGGAACAAAACTGACTTGGCAACTGCCTTTTTCCCTCTAGTAATATCCTGAGAAAGACTTTACATGCTGGATGTACAGCGGAGAGAGTTTCTGCTATTTGGATACCACTGCGATGGCCAGGTTTTCAGAACCGCAGTGGAGAGGTGTTTAACTCGTGGTTATTGTATTTCCTTTAAAAATGAATAAGAATGGAGTTTTAGAAAAGGACGCACCTTTCCGTTCCTCAAATGTATGTTTTATATTTATTTATAAGGGCATTAAAAGGTCACTGATTCTTATACTGTAGATACTGAATGATATTAAGTGTCCACAAAAAACAGTTATTTGGAGTTAAATTCAAAACTTGTAGTATCATTTGGATCTAAAAACTGATTGTTCTCACAGTTCTAGCCTTGGAACAAAGTTGTCCTTGTAATGTGCTGATTAGAAACCACCTTCTTTATTTTGACACAACCACAAGAGTCTCTCTTTGCTCCTGGGGCATTTGTCATGCCAGTCAGTCAGCCCCTCCCTTAGTTGCCACTGATAGAATTTAAAAATCACAGAATCTTTTAGGTTGGAAAAGAACTTTTTAAGATTCTCAAGTCCAACCCTTCCCCCAGCACTGCCAAGCCCTCCACTAACCCATGTCCCCAAGTACCACATCTACATGTCTTTAAAATCTCTCCAGGAATAATGATATGGTGGATAAGATGGTCATTCTGGTTGGCCATACAACTCAGAGTTCTCCATGGAACAGGTAGACATGAACAGGTGTATTATTAAAGAAATTCTTAATAATATTGAAGTATTTGTTCTAATCCATTAAAACAAGGTATGATTTTACCTTTTTGTGCTCAGTACACTCAGGTTTCATCCCATCAGCTAAATACGAAGCACTGGACTTCTTGCAATGTTTAATTTACATTGAAATGACAACAAAGCTGTGGACTTCCCTTTTGTTATAGAATCAGCCTCTGCAATAACCCCCTTTGGAGGAGTCCCTGAACTCATTCAACTCTATATAACTTGAACTCAATAAAGTTGCACTAGGGAAGAGTTTGGCCCATTAACTTTAGTTTTCTAATGCTGTTTAGTCAATAAGCCATATAATTCCCAAAACAAAGAAGGAGAAGGAATAATAATAATAATAGGAAACACGAAATGTCAACACAGCCTGTTCAGAAGGGAAAAAAAACCCTAAACCAAAATAAGGTCATCACTTAGGGAAAATCAGTGTAACTCCAGTGAAATCAAGTAAATTATGTTGGATTACCCCAGATGAAGAGCTGGTATGTAATTTTATTTTTTTCAGTTCTTTCTTTCCCTCCCCCCATCGTAAAATTTGTTTAAAAAAAAAAACCCTGGTCTGCCAGATTTTGCAAGTTCAGTAGTCTATTAACTGAGTAAGTAAAGATATTATGAAAGCAATAAGTGCTGAAACATCACACATGCAGTACATATCTCCATCCAGTCCAATTTTATGCCTAAGGAGACTGGCAGAGTTCCTGCTGCGATTCAAATCTTATGTCAAATTTATAAACTTGTTTGCTCCATTCTCCTCTCCTATCCCTGTGCCCCATCAATCAGAGCTCATACCTGCACAAAAGGCCGATCCATCATTAAGGAGGCAGGTTGCAGCCAAATGTAAATTTGCACTTAAAAAAAAAAAAAAAGAAAAAGAAGGAGTAATACTCAAGCTGCAGGGCAGGGTCACCCTCTGACCTTAGGCAATCTGCCTCTCAATCTGCAGAACACAGGCTAAAATAATGTGTCCGTGGAACAAGCAGTAAACTTTCCTGCTTCTGCCTTTTTGAAGATTCTTGGAGTTGCTGCGTCTGCCGGCTGACACTCTGTCTGACTTTTAAAATATGAAAATCTCCTCCATATGCATTGAGCTCAGTTTTCTGCTTAGCATTTCAAGAGCCCTAAGGACCTTCAGGGAAAAAAAAAACCATATTCTGAATTTTCAATTTTGATGACAATTTGCTTTCCCTACAGGATGTGCAGAAACACCTTGAAAAACTTGTCAGCTGCACTAAAGGAAATGTTCCTTGCCATGGGAATGAGGGCACATCACTTTCAACTAACTTAGGGAAAACAAGTTTGACTCTGCACCCCATGCTTCTGCAAAGTAGCTGAACATCTCTTTTAGGTTGTTCTAAATAAGAAGCAACAATAATAACAACTTAAAGAAAATAACAAACATAAAAAGCACGAACATAAGTTTTGACTGTACGGGAAAGACAAAATTTAGTCCATCCGTCCATCCATCCATCCCTCCATCCATCCATCCATCCCTCCATCCATCCGGTTACGGAACACTCTATTTTCATAGCTTCTAAATCCAAATAAGGATTCAGACCATAAAAAAAAAGATTGTTAATTTCTTTAAAATTAAATTGTTATGTTGGGATACATAATTTTACCTTGTCTGGACTGGCTTCCCCTTGCATTAGAGTCAAAGTAAGGCAACGGTAACATTCGAGAGCAATATAATCACACCCACCTTCAATAACTGTGCAGGGTGTACCACCACTTGCAGTCCTGTTTTTCTCAAAGAATTGACCTACATAACCTACTGGTATTAAGCCCTGTTTCTATAAGCTAATTTTAAATGGGGTGAATCCCCTCCCTTAGCTGAGATAAATGCATTTTCTCTGTAACCTCCAGATCCCTGAAGGGCACACTGGAAGTGTTAATTCTCTAAGCATCAGACACATCCAAATTTTTCAAGATGTGTTGAATTTTGTATCTTCTGTACCACAGATGAGAGATGATGGAGTACAGGTAATATAAAGTTCAGTGTTTCCTGGTCCAACTGAGATTAAGGACAAAACCCATAATTGACCCAAAAGGGTTCAGGTGCAAGTTATAGGCATTCTTATTCAGAAAACACAGAGGTTACAGAATTCCAGATGAAATCACTGGATTTCAGTAGTCTGGATGCTCAGTGTTCAGCCTTGATTAGCTCGCTCCTGACAGATGAACCACAAACCAGGAACGGGTGATAAGCCTTGATTTCAGGGCTTGTGTTCCATCCATTAGACAGAACTTATCTTTAATGTTAAATTCCTGGTTTTAGAGACTGGACTGATGGCAGTTGTTTGTCTTGTTTTGGGGTTTTATTTTTGTTTTTCGGGTTTTTTTACATTACCAGTATTTCCATGTTCTACATGGACTACACAGAATTGTTTGAATTCTAACATCATTTAGTATTTCTGCTGCTAATCCTAGTTTAGCCATGACACAGACAAATCTGGTATTAAGCAAAGAAGTTGTTGCATAAACACGGTAAATGCTGCCTCTTTTCCTTTTAGTGGACTTAGAAATTCACACCAGAGCAGTCAGTTAGAATATGCAATTTATACTGCAGACTATTTAAATGTTTTAAAATGGAAGTGTTCATTACAAAGGCCTTTGCTAACCTTTTATGCAGCGTGAGATGCAAATAAAGCAGTGGCTGATAAAGGGAGACATGTAAATGAATATGTATGTTCGCATAAGCTGTATTTCTTTGCTGTTGTGGAACAAATTCTCTTAGTTCCATTTAAGCATCCGCTGTTGATTTCAGTGTAGTTATGAACACGCAGCTGAGGCCAGGATAAATCCATCCATCCACCTATTGACTGATCAAACCGTATTTTTGATTATGGATCCCATTTCCATGTAGAAGTGAAGCAGGCCTTGTTCTCGAGGGCAGGCTCTGCAGCATCACCACTGCAGCACTGTGGCAAGATTTTTTGGGCATACACCTCACTCCAGTGGGTGCTCATGTTGGGCACAAAGGGAAAGGAGTCCCACGTGCCTCTGCAAAATCCCAAGGACCAGTTAGGCACCAGTGTTTATGAATTCGTTATTTCCTTTTAAAAAGCATTTAATAAATAGTAGTGCTATGCTTTAAAAAAGCAAGTTGAAAATTCGTAATCAATTTTGTCATTCTTGCTTTTCTTTCTTATTGGTAGGAAAAAATTACTCACTTTTCTCCCACCCTCTGATAAGACTAGGCTTTTGCACTCTATTAACCCCAGGGGCTAAAAGATAGACTGTTTTCTAACAGGTGAATTAGTGCTAGATAGCATTACCACAAATGCCAAGTCATTAAACATGTAATTGGATTTTTTTTTTTTTTGCTATCTTAACTTTTCTACATTATAAAGGATCTTTACAAATTAATGACAGAATATGAAGCTGCCCTGAGAGCTATTTGCCCATTAAAAACAGGCATGAAAAACTCCTATCCCCATCACATGGAGAACTATCCCACCAATTTCCAATTACTTCTGCCACTGACAGTTCACTGGACTGTTAAGTTATATTCTGCACCATGCTGCTTAATGTGGTTAAGTCAGGCAGGTATTTGCTGCTTTTCTTTTTTTCTTTATTCTTATTTCTATTTTTTTCCCCTGATTGTGAAGCAATTAAGCTATGTCATTAATGAAAAAGCAGAATTTTAGTACTATAAAGGCACAGTTAATTTAAAGATTGATCCCTGGCAATAACTGAATAAATCCTCACAGCATCATGGTCCAAAGATGTTTCTGGAAGTTTATTCAGGACCTCCAGTAAAAGCCTCCTATGTCATTCACAGATATTCCAAGGCAAGAAGCCTTAGTAAGAAGCTAAAGAACTTGCTTCTGTGTCAGGTAATGACAACGATAATATTAATGTTAATGGTAATAAGAAGGAGAAGGATACACTGTGGATTTTTTTTTTCCATTCGATGAAAACTTTGAACTGAAAATGCAGTAAAAGATTGAAAAATATCACTTTATGTCAAGAGCTGAAAACAAACAAACAAACAAAAAAATCTAAGGCTTTAGAAGATTTGTGACGTGGAAATCTAAGTGACAATATGTGTTAGCTTTGTTGTTAGGTGATCAAGTCTTTAAGCAGAGGTATTAGAGGTATCACTGGGAACTGAAAGGCATTTGCTCTCTGTAGGTTGGTGATTAACACACAATTAAGAAAACTGTTATATTCAATTTCTGTGAGCTAAGTGGGAATATTTATTAAATAAAAAGTAGTCCATCTCAGCATGGTCAAGGGTGAAATAGCCACAATGTAAATGGACTTTATAAAAATATTGTGTGGGATGTGGATCTTTCCTTCTGGTTGCTGATAAAATCCCTTTTCAACCAATTCTGTGGTATCATCCATAAGCTTTGGATGAATTTTAACTCAGCCATTTCTGATGTAAATAGATCATCAGCTATCATTGAGGAAGGAGGAAAAACCTGGGCTTTATAGAAGTTGTGTGATGTCTGCAAATCATTAAAGTGATGCAACTAAATGAAAGACAAGTACAGAAATTTTCTGTCAGGATCTTGCAGGCACTAATGGCCACAAAAAGAGAAATCCAAAATGGAGTGTCTACAGAGAAGGACTGCTAAAATTATCAAGGGAATATAGAACCTATTTTATATGGACAGATTGAAAGAGACTGGACTTTTAAAGCAAAAAGGGCAGTGTCAAGGCAGAAAAATAATATTATTACTGTATAATTACCTCTCCTTGTATGAACAAATGATACTCAAGTTAAAGAAAAACAGTGAGAAATACAGATAGGTGCAGATAAATTGCACATCTGGGTGGAGCTGTACTCTGGACACAGAGGGTTGTAAGCATTCACATGCCACTTTGAAGCATCCTCTTTGAACATCACTGTGTTCTGGCGTATCTCCTTTGTCACGTATACTCCACGTGTATTTTTCAGTACATCCTATTAGGTGTCATTTTTATAATTCCAAACTCCAGTAAGTCTCTCAAGCAGATTCATGCTGGGATATTGCTGGATAAGGTGATGTTTGTACTGGAAACAGCAACTCAAGCCATACTGGCCAGATTTACAGGATGTTCCATTTGCCAGACTTTTTTCCATCTTCAACTCTCTCACTGTAGTTTGGTTTGATATTTTCAAAATTTGCCTTGGCTGTCTGAATCTGAGGATTTAATTTGGCTTACCCAACTAAACAGAAAAAATAACCAATACATTTTCTTCCCTTGCTGCTTTTCCCTTCCTTGTATGCTGTTCCCACTCCTTTGGTTTCAAGGATCTGCAGCCAGAGGTTTGAGTTCAGGTATTCCTTCATTTTTTAATCTTGTGATTATTTACACTAGTGTGATTACACTGTGGAATATATTACTAAACCAAGAGGAGATGATTTAACAACCCTTTTCAGGGTTTGGTATGATTTACCAAGGCTAATCATTTCAGAGATGAAATGAAGAATTACTGTTTTAAATGCCCATGCTCCGTTCAAGCACTCCATTGCTACTCTGCAGAGCTGTATACAAATAATGTAATTTAATAATGAGTGGAAAACATCCTGCTCCAACCTGTGAATTAGTAGCTGAAATTTACTCTTGAGCAGACAGCCAGCGCCTGGGCCGGTTCACACCTGGTATCACTTCAGGGCTTTTGTGAAACTCAGGCAGGCCGCAGGCTTTGTGCTGGGGTTTTGAGCAAAGCTATTTTCACTCTGCAATGAGCAAGTGCAGTCATATGTTTCAATAAGGGACTTATCTGTTAGCATGTGAAAATGTTACTGCTAATTTTACACCTTGAAAACAAATCAGAGTTTCACAGTTTGAAAGCAGAAACCAACCAGCTATAAACCGTCAGATTGACTGTGATCTCAGAATTGAATAGGTCTATTTGTTCTAACAAACAGTTAGGCCATTAAATTGCAAAGCCTTCCAGTGTTTGTCCAGGTAAATAAGGACACATCCAAATTGATTATCTGTTGTTCAGAGGTAATGATACGTAATAAACTATTCACTCTGGGTAACGTAACAGAAATGTGCTGTAGCCCACGGATGTGCCATATCTTCCTGTGTAAGAGCAGAATCTCCCCACTAGTTTAGCTTAATGTCTCCACATCCCACCTTCCTGCCCCCCAACCCTGCGAGCAAAATACATTTGCCTGATAAAACAAACATGTACGTTTTTCTTGCTTAATGAACGTATGTGGTGCTGCTGCTTCTGCTGATGGGGATTCCTCAGAAATCTGCTTGAGGGTACATCTGCAACTCACAGAAAAAGACTTCAGGGACATTAAGTTTGATCCTATTCTTTTCAGTGTCATTATACTCATTTGAAAAAAGAATATCTGTCATCACAGACATCAGATCCACTGGCTGCCCAGCAATAAATCTTGTGCTCATGTCAAAATGTCTCCAGCGGAATTTCTAGGATGAAAATTCACAGCTCAACATTAGGCAGCAATTTATGATATATGATACAAGCAGCATGAGTAGTATTCTTACAGGAGAAGGGGGGAATCTCTAAATTTTTTCGAATGGAAAGTAGTTAAATGATGCTTTTCTCAGGAACTTTACTGACTTTTTAGACTGTCATAATAAGAATTCTTCTCATGCACATATTCCTGATATCTCTAGAGTTAGATTATGGCTACACACAGATTTGGCTGGAAATCTCCTGTGTGGAGGAGAGGAAATAAGCAGCTGAGACTGAGAACCAGGAACAGAAACATTTTCCATCAGCAGCAGGACCTTCTTTATGGGATCCTGCTCCATCACTTGTGACAAACACCAAATTGAATGTTTGTGGGGACAAACTCAGAGAGGGTAATAACCCGTGCTGAGGCAGTGTGAGAATGATAAATGTTTTATTGTCTTTATTTTTCTCACATCACTTGCCAGTTAGACTTACAAGGTGAAATTAGTAACCTTCTGTGGTGGAATTTGTCTTGCCAAATTTTAGCTGACTGAAGTATTGAGTGGGATACTGTGTGTAAGTAAAACACTTGAATTTAGACACCTAGGGATGTTTATGCCCAGGCTGGTGTTCAGGCTGTCCTTGTGGCCGCTAAGGAGCCAGTGAGGGCTGCTGGAGGCTCCTGGGGAGTTACTGGGGCAGTCCTGGAGCCTTCAGTTGGGTGAACAGCATCATCCCCTCACTCCATGTGCTGCCCTGACAGCTCTGCCCTGCACATAAAGCCTGAGCACGCCAGGACTCAACTCATTGTACCTGATTTTGGGCACTTTGAGCTGCTGTTGTTCCCTCCAGCCCCGGTCAGGCAGAGCAGGGGTCTCCTGAGGGCTCTTTCATAAGGAGTGTGACCAATGCTGGACATCGACGGCAAGGAACTGAATCATGGTCCAGGGACCCCATCTGACCTGCATCAATGAGCAACCTTCATGATCAGGGGAGAGGACAGGTGCCTTAAGCAACATTTTCATGTAACCTGTCATAAACACCTATTTTAGAAGGAGTTAAAATCTAATTTCTTCCAAACAATTGTTTGAAGGGGACTGACATTCAGAGCCTTGTGCTGGAAGAGAATCACATAGATTTGGTGGAGAAGAGGAGGTCCCCTCTCCCTGTTCATGGTGTAACTTTGCTGATATCGGTCGAGCAACACCATGGGTACATTTAACCAATGTCCACTGAAATAGAAAGCAGGATAACTAATCGAACAAGCAAACCAGGCTTATCTCTCAGTGATCACAAAACAGATGGCAGGCAATATGGAAAGGGGAACACACAAAGAGAGATATTAATTTAAGACAGGCAGATAGATGGAGCAATACTTTCAAAAGTAATAAATGGCTCAAATTGAAGGCCAATTCTCAAATGCATATTCGGAGACATATGGGTTGAGGTCTCAATGGAAAAACAATTACCTATATTTAAAAAAAAAATAAGGTAATGCAGGATCATGGATTGACATTTATCTTCTCTATGTAAAAGAAAAAAGACACAGCTACATTTTTCTTGAGCCCTTTTTTCTCTGAAGTTGCTCGCAGTGGGACTGAGACAAGGTGGGTAAAAAGACATGAAGATTTTACGTTCTTTTAAAAAAGGGGAGGAATATTAAGTGGAAGAGTGTCGCTTTTTATTTCATTTCAGAAAATGCTAGTTCAGCTCTAAAAGATACAGAAATCTGAATCCGAAGATCCTCCAACAACAGAAATGCAAATATATTTGTAACCACTAGATGGTACTTAAAGAACAGGGTTGAAATCAGCTGCTCTGCTGTGAGATGTGTAGTGAGGATACCTGTGTCAGAGGCTTAGCAAAGTCGAGGCTGATTTTATTTTCTCCATATCCAGTAGGAAGGGGGAAAAAGAAATTAAAAAAAATACATATAAAAAAGAAAAAAGAAAAACAAAAAGAAACTAAATCTCTTCTGTGCCTCTTTTGACTTAAAAAGAAAAATAGACATGGCAAAAGTGTTCCTGATTAGATTGGTACAAAAAGATGATGCATTCTTTCTGGATGAATCAGGAGATATGAGGTTCTGTCACTCTTTAGATATAGACCTGAAATACTAAGCTTAAATTTATAGCCTCTTGAATAAGCCACAGGACTCTGTTTACTCATAGAGTAGAATTGGGTACAGTTCCAGCAGTTCTTCTGTGTGATCAGTTACTTTATCACCTTGATCAGTTCAGAAGATACAATAACTCTCTTTTTTAATACATCCTACTACAGTAGATTCTTTATCAACCTGCTTTGGATTTAATCACACTTCTGGGTCAGGAATCCTCTCCCCATCTGTCTCTTTCACATGCATGCAAACACATGCCTTCACAGGCATAAATGCCTGTGTGTTACTTTTTGACTTTTTGCAATTTTTACATTTTCTGGAGGAAAGACTGGGAGAGATAGGGAGCAGGTCTAGAGAAATGACAGCTCAGTTACAGCAGCTCTCTTTTTCCACTTCTAGTTTCCAGAACCAACTATCTATTTCCAAAAGTAATGAGGGGAGGAATTTCCAGCCATGGGAATGATGTTGCAGTGGCTACCTGGAAATTTGAGAATGTACCTTGCCTGCAGATTTTGGACTTTCAGCATTAACTGACTTCATAGCATTAGCTCAAGCCTGTTGTTCACTTTGTGAGGGTAACCTCTCCCATTCCATCCCGGGCACAATAGTTTAATCTGGTGCTTTGGTTTGGCTTCATTCCCCAAAATTTTTTTACAGCAGAGAGTAGCACCAGAGAGGTCAGTGAGATTTTCCAGGAAATTGTGAATAACAAATATCTCTCTCAGGTTCCTCCCAATGAACACCCTGCTGTGCAACTGGGAGCATTTCTTTCTGACCTCTCCTGCCTATAAGCTGTCCCTGGAGGTTTGCAGATCGATACTGTTGCTTAATGTACATGGAAAGGTTAGGCTGATTCTTATTCTCTGAAAAAAAAAATGCCACTAGATCTTTTCTAAAAGTATCTCAAACGATTTATCTCTGAGGTATTCTGTGCCATTGAGCTCTAAAACCTCCAAATATTTGTTTGGTATCTCTGATTATCCAACTAAAAAAAACAAAAACAGGCAAACCGAAACAATCCTGTAATATCTTTATGCAACAGTGAATGATATTAAGGTTGGAAAGGTGCATCTAAAAATGTTATGCAGTCTTAAATGATACAGAGAGTTAGTAGGGAAAGACTTTGTTACCTAGGCCTAACTTTTCTGTAGGAAAGGTGAGTCTCTGTATGTTGCTTCATATTTCTTTGCTTGTCCATGGCAAGCCTCATCACAGAAAACCAACAGCTTTGGGCCTGACCTAAAGCTCCTTGAGCACAGGACAAGTTCTCCCAGAGGACAAAGTCTATTCATTAGTCTCGTGGCAGCCCCTGTGAGCAGGAACATTTTTCACAAAAACAAAGTCTCAGGAATAGCTGTAGCATTGATCTCGTCACTGAGATTTGCTCTTGCATAATGGCTTTGTACCAACGGGTTTGGCTTTGGTAATAAGACCTCATGTGAAATCTCTGAATGTGAGTTTTACCCTGCAGTTCCTCAGTTTGACCAGCTGCCAGCCGAGAGTTACTTATTTTCTAGGATGAAGGTTGTTCAAAAGTAAACTTCTGGGCAGTTTTTATTTTGTTCCCTGCTGTTTTATAAAGATGCACCCCAGCATCTTCAGAAGTCACACACCAGTTGGCCAGGTGTGTCCTATAACATCGGGGGGGTCAAGGAGCAGAACCTGACATAAGCATGCCTGAGAACTCTTTGCCCTTTCCTCTACTTGGTAACATCTATTTTATTAGTTGCAACTTGCCTCCCAGTCCCTGAAATTCCTTTAAAATATTTGATCCAGAGCTGCACTGCTCCTAGCTCAACCATGGAATTATTTGCCATTTCTTTTTCTGAGATAAAATCCTATCTGTTCCTGTCTGCCTGCTGCTCCATCTGTCTGCCTGATCTGCTGCTTCATAATCTGGAAGGGAATACCTTTTGGGTTGTTTCTTATATATCTTGTAACCACTACAGAGCTTTGCTTGAAGGGGCCAAACTCATCTGTGATGGTGAAACTTCACTGACTGCAGGTAGTTTTAAGGAATGAATCAGATCTTCCCTTGGGACCACTGCAGATACAAAATGTGTCCCTGTGTGTACGAACAGTCCAAGGTGGGGAAGGGAATCAAAGGTAAGGTTTTGCAGAGACTCTTCCAGGACAGTAGTAAATCATACACTCACTGCTGCACTGCACAGAATGAGCTAAAGGAGAGCAAGAAAAATGAAGGAATATGCAATTCTGCCCACTTCAGCAGTTAGGCTTTTGTTAGAACACTCTTAAGCAATTACAAAGCTGCCAGGACTGTGTTTAATTAAATATATAAGTATTCATACAAAAATAAAACCCAAGCAACACTTACATCATGCCTACAAGGTGTTATTGTTCCTTTTATTTCTTACAGATGGACATTTTGTCAGGAAGAAACTTGCCAAGTGTTGTGAGAGAGAGAGGGAATGAGAGAGAGAAGGAGGTAGAGGGATGTGGTGAAAAGAAATATGGATGCTACAGGAAAAATGACAGCATTTGTATTTCAGAGAGGCAAGCAAAGTACAGTGCGCATGTGACAAGGAAGTGTGACTCGAGTTCCCTACTTCAGGCTTCACTGAAATTCCCCAGTACTTACGGGAAAACAGATGACAGAGTAATTAGAGATGGTGCACATAATTTATCATCCATGGTCTTGAACTTCCTGTAGCTGATTGGAATGACCAGATGATTTTTACTAGTAGACTAGTAGAGGGGGGAAGGGGAGGAACATAGCTAAGTAAAAATAATAATTCTTTATTTGCTTAGTATCATAGAATGATTTGGGTTGGAAGGGACCTCAAAGATCATCTAGTTCCAATGGCCTGCCATAAGCAGGGATGCCACCCTGTAGATCAGGTTTCTGATTCAATGAATCCTGAATCTTAAAACCCCAAAAGACAAAAACCCATTCCTGCAGATGTTCGGGTGAAGGGAGACACAGCCAGCCAGCACCTGTGGCTCTGCTGCTCTTTCTGGGACAGGATTTGCACACCCAGGAAAGTATGGGGCTGCTTTTGCTCCCAGTGGAAGAAGAGTCCAGCTGTCTACAATGTCATGGGCACACTAAGTCTTGGCCTACAGGTCAGGCAGGTTCCTGAAGGGCTGTGTCCCCATGGAGTTGTACAGGCTGATGAATTCTTCCTAGTGGAAAAGCTGGCACAAGGTTTGATCCTGGGCTTTTTTTGGCATTAGTGAGACCAGTGAAAAACTTGCATATAGCCAATATGTTAGACTGTCATTAGCGTGAGGCGGGATATTCAGGGACAAAGTAGTGCAGTATATATTTTATATCCTCTTGGTTAACTTTTGTCAGAAACACGGGTGCCTTCACAGAGAGTGATATTTTCTGAAATGTTACTGTGCCGCATGAGGCAGCCAAGATGTGTCCTTCTCAGCTACTGGTAATGCAAAGTATTTTGAGTTCACTAGGCAAAACAATTTTTAATGGCACTCAAATCCACCAGGTGCTGTCTAGAAATCATATCCACCTAACCGTGCCATTGTTGGGGGAGTTTTCTTTTGCCCTGGGACGGGGACTAGTTCTGTTATTGCAACTCACTATTTGCAGCCTGCAAGAGTTGCAGGTGCCATGAGTCTGTGATGACTCTCAGGCACAGTAAAGCTCAGTAAAGGAGGGGTTTTGCTATAAATGCTGGAGTCCTGGCCTGAGTGCCATTGCAAAGGAAGATGATGACCCCAAACTGATATGGTCTGTATGCGAGGCTTTCTCATAATTTTACATGTGCTTCATTTCCCCCCATTACCTATAAGAGTGTGAACCTACAAAGGAAGGGGATATTTTGACAGCAGGGGATTGTGACCTGGGCATGAGGCTTTCTCAGTCCTTAGAAGGGAGAAATAAGAGAGGTTAAGATGAAGTAACAGTTGGATTTTTCTTTCACTCCCTAAATCTGTGGCTATAGTTTTCAGAGAGGCTAAAGGAATTAAGTATGCATTTCTTTTTCAAGTGAAAAGTCCAAATCTCAGACCTAAGCCTAGAAGGCAAATGTTTCACTTGCTGTATTTTAGCCTCAGAACTGATCATGTGTTGAGTTTATACAAATCCCTTTATTACCTGAACAATGCCATGGTGTTCATTATCCTAGTAACAGACTCTTATGTTAATTTACAAAGAGAAAAAATTGGGGACATCCATAAGCTCCTACACAGAAGGACTGATGAGGAAACAACTTGGTGTTGGGTGTGCTTTCTGTGTTTTCCTTAGACTGTCTCAGGTGGTGGCTGTAGAATGAGAATGCTCCACTGATAAACACTTGTGAATGGTGGGGGAAAGACTCTCATTTCAGGTGCAAATCTGATAGCTTCCCATTCGGATTGAGGGAGAGGATTAGTTACCTTCACCACGCTCCTCTCATACCTCCATCCACCCCCCAACTTCAGGATCTATATCCGAACCCTCCATCTGAACCAAAAGGCTTTATCTGTCCCTTAGTGAAACATCTTTTATTTGCCAACTTGTTTTTCCCACAGACTCCCGCTCCCTTTTGTGTTTGCGCTAATGTTCTGAATGTCTACACCGCGTAGCCGATGATTATTTGTGAGACAGAGTGAGTTAATGCAGATTTGCAAGCTGTTCCCATTTGTTAAATGTCAGAAAAACACATGCAAGTCACTGGCTTTAGCACTTAGCTGCCAGCTGGCTCTTCTGAAAGGAGGGGACAAATGACAGTCTATCAAACAGCATGCTTTCAAAGAAAGAGGAGACCTGTTCCAGAACTGCAGCTTCAGAGGCTCTTTTAACAACATAAGCAAAACTGGGAGCCAACCTCATTTTTTCCCCCTGGCTGTAATGAACACATAGCTTAGCGACAGCATTCCCCCACCCCCAGTAAAAATGTACTGGAATTACAAAGCTTATGAGGAAAACAAGTGTCTTTTTTTTTTCCTTCTCCCTCCTTTTTCCTTAAATTCTTATTTATTTTTATTTATTTATTGATTTAATTTTGGCTCAAAAGTAAGACTAAAAATGTCAAAAGGGAAAGGAGTGGGGTTCTGAGATCAGTCGCAAATCTCACAAGATTGCAGGAAACTGTGCCAAATTGAAGTGTTTATCCATGGGTAAGTGCCCAGTGTAGATTAACATATTTTAATTATGGTCTCCGGGTTTGCTGCGCTCCCCGAAGGATACATGGTTTAGGCCTCACTGGTGAGCCAAAGTTGTCGGGGAGGAGGGGGGGGATTATTTTTGGTTGTGCATGCTGATGGGGAACGCTGTCCTCGCTGTGCCCAGAGTGCCGGGACGTGCAGATCTCCTGGAGCAGCTGCCTCAGGAGCAGTGGCGGCAGTGCCGGTGTCCCTGTGCCACCCGACATGCTCCAACCCTGACCCGGAGGCCGCCAGCGCAGGGGCCGGGGCACAGCTCTGCTTCCCGGGGTGATGTCCACCGGGACCCCCGACATCACCCGCTCATTAGGATGTCTCTGAACAGCTGTCATGTGGTGCTGACTTTTTGTCACAGCTGACAGCGGTGAGATTAAAGCAGGTAGCCCGAGGCTGGAAAACTCTGTGTTTTGTTACGAAGCCCTGAGTCATCTAGTCCCCTGTTATAAATATTAGGTGTCAGATTTGGATTCACAGAGTCACTCGTAGCCTTGGGTAGATCCCATTACACAAATGGTCCAATTTATTACAGCAGGACTATTTGTATACAAGATTGCCATCATTGTCAAGATGTCAAAATCTGGCCTCGCATGTTTAATGCTTCATAATTAACAAGCTGCACCGTGCTAGTGAACATCTTCCAATTACAGAATAAGATTTTGAAATAAGTGGTCAGTTCACAGAGTTTTCTCTGGTTAAAACTCACTGCCAGTTAGGACAGGGCTTTGGGAAGAAAGAGTGTGGTTCAATGCAAGGCCCATCTTTTCTTCCCTGTTCTTATTTTAAGCTGAATATCCGATTTCCTTCTGATAGGTGAAAGAGGAAGGCAGAACTATGAAGAAGGTGATTCATGCTGCATACCTTGCAGAAGAAGGAGATCCCTTCTGCTTATCTCTATCACTGGAAGGAGCCCGAGTTCAGTGCTACCTGATGGAATGGGAAAAACTAGGTGAGATGAAACCTTTTCCAATGGCAAACAGTGCCAGCAAAGCTCATTGCTCTATTCCTCATAAATTTATCTCTGGATCACTCCCAAAGAAGGAATTTGGTGCCAAATATACATTTAAATTGTCATCTGAACCACACCTCCTTTCAGCTGTTTAATCTATGGGAGTCATAAACTCTCTGGGTGTCTATGCTTTTACTCTGAAAACATACCCTGGGCACCCCCAAATTTGAACAGTGGTTTGGCTAACTCTAGCCTAAATCCCGGTGAGATCCATGAATTAGGCAAAGTTAAGCCTCTGAATCTGATAGGTACAATTTGAACCACCCCTCATGTCCTCAAGTTCAGCACAAGGCCTTACTTTACTCAAGGCCCCTTTCATAGATAAAAAAGGTCTAGCTATTTAAACGAAAAAGTGAGATATCCCAGGTTCCGGGCTGTCCTCATTCAGATGAATATGAAATAAGAGACTTCAATTGCTCTAAACTTCTCATTATAGTCTCAAACTCGAGACTTTGAGACTGTCTGGGGAAAAGGGCTATAAAAGTTATTGTTCTGCAGCTGGAGGAATCTAACCCCATTTTGAATTTTGAATGCCCAGGGTCTTCAGAGCTATGTCCACGGAGATATTCAGAGATATTTAGGCACCCAACTGCTCTTAGTCTCAGTGCCTTCATCAATAGAGATCACAGTCAGCTTGGATTTAAAGCGTAACAGAAAATGAAAGCACCAAGCAGTATCAGCCTGTGGAGAGAGTGAGAAGACAGTTGTTAATCTGAAAATTTCCTCCACATTAGATTCTTATTATCTTTCCTTTTGCACCATAAACTGTTCCCTGCAATTGTGCTTGGGATCATTCAACTGAAAAGAAAAGCTCCCCTGTCCATCTGCCTGGCAGGACTATCCAAAGGTACCTCCTTTTCTCCTTCCCTTCCTCGGATCTGGCTGGCAAAGCTTATCAAACAGAGCGTTATGATGTGGTAGTCTCTCCAAACCTCCAAAATCTGACTCTGAGATAGCTGAATTTGTTTCAGGTTAGCATATGGCACTGCTGCATTTTTAAGTGGCTTGAGAATATTGTTAGGGAAAGACCAAATTCAGCAGCCTGGTGGAGCTGGAGTTGCCTCAGATCCACATCAGAGACCCAATGAGTACAGAGACAGAGCATGCATTCCCAGCAGGCACACAAACACATATATTCACCATAAGTATTTATATAGAGGTGGATCCAGATCCATACACCTCATACACACAGAGAGCACTCGCACAAACACAGACAGCACCAACAACCCACCACATCCCCCCTTTCTCGGCACAAAATATGCCCATATGGATAAAATATGGATCCACCAGTAGCTGGGCTCAGACACTCAATCTGACCAGTAGCTGCCTGTGAATCCCAATCTCCCCCATGTTGCTGGCACCTGGACATAGGAGGTCCTGAGCCTGCAGCCCCCTTCCAGGGTGGTACAGGCACCTTGCACACAACATCACAGACACACACACACACAGAGGATCCAGACAAGAGCACCGGCCAGTCCTATTTACACACAGCTGTCTGTTTTGTCCCCTTTCCTTCCAGTTTTCCAACATTTGACTCTCTCAGTCCTCTCTTTCCCACCTTTTTTTGTTCTCGACTTCCTCTAAACATCCCATAGTAAGTCTCATTCTACCCCAAAACACTCTTCCCAAAAGTGTCACTGGGTAGTAACCCTTCTCTGTACCTGAGGGGCTCCAGAGAGCAGCTCTTGTGACTCACCATTGTGTGGTGATGCTCCTTATGGGCAGCCCTGAAATGAGACATGACAGAGGTGCATTTCTTTCCTGAAGTTATTTGGGTCCTCCCCCTCCCCATTATTATGCCCTGGGCTCCTCTATGTGTGTGTAGATGAGCCTTTTATCTCACAACCTGACAAATACCTGCTTTATGTGAGATATTTTTGTTGCACAAGTAGATCCTTCTCTGTCTCTGAGGCATATAAACTCTGTCATACTTGTTACACAAAGAGCATTGGGGTGAGTAAGCCCTTTCCTTTCATTTTCTTGAAGAATGTCAGGCTCAGACTTAAGCAGTAAATGCTGGTAACAGCAGCATGTGCTTCGTGTGGGCAGATGGTGAGACAAGACCAGTCTGGTAAGTTGAGTAGGGTGTAGCCTGTGTCACCATGTGAAGGTGACAGCATCCCCACTTGGCAAAAAAGGTTATTAGTGCTAGATTTTTCTTGGGATATCACTGTCTTTGAGTAACACTAACAAAATACTTCGACAGTTAAGGGTGTCAGACATGTACAGACATCTCATTTTTAAGAGCACACAAGACTCAGACTTTCAAGGATGCTTAGATTAAAGATCAGCAGACACAAAGGAAGGTTTTCAAAAGTGTTTATGTGTTTCATTTCCATTAACTTCAGCAGAAGACAAGCATCTTAACTTCAGTTATCACTTATTAGCATCTTTAAGTATCTAGATGTCTTAAAAAACTTGTCTGAGAACTGCTATATAGACAGTGTCTCATTTTAAAAATGACCACTAAAAAGTATTTCTGGTAGAGCATCTAGTAGTTACATTGTTGGTGTCATAAAGCAATGCTTTTTCTGCCAGAGTTCTTTCTCAGGCACATGGTGGGATTCTTGGAGTTGTGCTGTTCATGGTCAGGAGTTGGATTCAGTGATCCTTGTGGGTCCCTTCCAGCACAGGATATGCTATGAGTGCTTTTTCTCTGGAACAGTTATCACAGAATCACAGAATGGGTGAGGTTGGAAGGGACTGCAGTGGGTCGTCTGGTCCAACCTTCCTGCTCAAGCAGGGTAATCCCAGAGCACCTGGCACAGGATGGTGTCCAGATAGTTCTGGAATGCCTCCAATGAGGGGGACTCCACACCCTCTCATTGCTTCATGTCCTGTTGTTGGGCACCACCAAGCAGAGCCTGGCTCCATCTTCTGACACCTCCCTGCAGATACTTATAGACATTAATGAGACTTCCTCTCAGTCATCTCTAATAAACTGGATTTTTAGACATGATGAGAGACACAATAAATGTGGCAGAAGACTCGAGAAGAGACAAAATCAAAAACAATGTCCAACTTTCAATTCATCCTGAATCCTGTTTTATCAGCATGGCAAGATATGCTTTAAGGCTGGATGGTGGTAAAGTACAGTTTAGGGATGGAAACACTATTTTCCCATTTTACTACTTCCTGTGTTCATTGAGGAAGGTCATCCTGGGCATTTGTGTTCAACACGCCCTGGAGTGCTGTACATTGAACCAGCTCTGAATGAGGAGGCTGCAGGACCTTGGTTTACCAGCACTAGGCTGGGATGACCAGTCTGCTCCCACAGCCAGAACGAGCCTCTCCTCGGGTGGTGATGCTGCAGTGCAGACACTCAGCTATTTCGGAGCCAATTTAAATCTCTATCTCACAGTGATGTTTTATGCAGAGCAGGCTTATGCTTAGGGCCGGATACAGAGCCCACAGAAATGGATAGGATGCTTTTGACTGTGCTTCAGCGAACTCCATCTAAATCATTAAATTCTCCCCACCTCACTTCCCTTCCTTGAAACAAGGATAACCACCTTTTTCTTAACACAGTACCCGTCTTGCTCAACACAACAGATCTCTAATCATACAGGGAGGAAGAGAAGAGAGGGGAAGGAAGGGCAGATGGTATCATCCTAATGCAAATAATAAATAATCAGATTAATCCCTGCATCATGACAAGAGTTTCATTAGGTGCAGAACTAGGGAAAAACACTGCTGTGTTCCCTGGGAGCAAGTCAGAGGGGGACGTGATAAAAAGTGCTCCCATGCTTGTTTTCTTTTCTTATTTTCTTTTATCTTTTTTATTTTTTTAACTTATTCTCATTTGCTTTTTACTGGGGGTAGAGCAATGCAGAAGGGCAAAACCATAAAATTATGGTGTTGGAAATCAAATTCTGTGTTTAAGAGATTTTTGTCAGCATCTTATGAGCAGGGTGACCAAATGCTCACATTGTAGGGGTCTTGTTTTCGTGATCTGCATCCATATGTCACACACTTAATCAGAGAGGCACGACTGTGGACTGAAGCAGACAGACCTGAAATGTCAGTGCTCAGGTAGGAGGAAAGTCCTCTTTTCCCTGACTTCTTTAGCTGAAATGTTGAGCGTTTTGCACTGCTATTGCTGCTTCTTGGTTGGACTGTTTCTATTTCCGCAGTGTCCTCATGCCTGTCATTGCCTGGATCTGGTTCAATAAACACATTAGCCACATCTGAGAGTACAAATATTTCTTCAGAGGCTTAAATGTCTATTTGAACATGTGATTGCAGTAACTGCACATGCAGTCAGAGTCAGCGCTGTACGCAGCATCAGTACTGACATGTCTGAATTTAGGAGGATCCCACATAAGAGGAGGAACTATACCAGTGTCAAATGGCAGGGAATGCAGGCTGGCTGTATTGATGGTCTGCCTGAGGCAGTCCTGTAAGTCACATCAGAGGTCAGGTGGGATTGCCAGTCACTTGAAAACCCTCCATGCTCATCATGCCCACCCTGTGGCTGTGCTTCTCCCGAGCTTGGCTGTCCGGCTACCTGCTCTGGACCACAGGCTAAGGGTGTCACCTCCTGCCTTTTTGATGTAGCACTGGCACTGGGATGCCATGCAGCAAAAGGCCCATGGTGGCATTTGTTGCCATACTGCAATCCAGAAAGTCAGTGTGGAGAAGATTTACCATCAGCAAACACACTACGAGAAGAAACTCATCTGTGCTCATCTTCCCAACAACACTCTCTTCTTTTGCACTTCTGAAATAGGGGGTTTCTTCTGGTGCAACTGCTGCTAGTCAACACACACTTTCACAAACAACATGAACTGAGCAAAGTGAGCGTTTAATATCTGCAGAATGATTTATAATGTGCTTTACAGAAAAGTTTTCAGCAAGTCTGAATTCTCTATTAAAAGCTGCTTGCTTCATTACAGAGTTACCAAAATAGGCAAAGAAAATATTCCTTGCTTATCCCAAGA